TGAACCCTTTCTAGTTGGAACTTCTGCCAGCAGACACAGTCTCCTGCAGCTGGGAACTGTCGGGCAATGTCTCCACCTAGAGTCAAGTGTTTCCCAACATCTCAGGCTGAGAGGATGTTAAATCTACCGCTGGTGACAGACCTCTGAAATCTTTTGGGCAATGTAGCAAGAGGCCCTGCAATGCAGTATGGTTTGGAGCCCACTCATGCCAGTGGGATCACTGTTATAGGACTGGCCCCCTCCACTTCACGTAATCATAAAAAATGAGGGCAGGCGGGGACCTCAGGAGGTCACAAAACCCGTCTAGACAACGCCTCGGCTGGGATGATGTAGCTGGGGCTGATCCTGCTTTGAGCAGGGGGTTGCACTAGATGTGACCTCCTGAGGTCCCTTCAACCCTCATTTTCTATGTCTCTGTGACTAGAGGGGAGGAATGACGTCCCTCAATCTGATCCCATGGACTCTGTTCCTACTAATGCACCCAGCGTGCTGTTAGCCTTCTTGGCAACATGGGCACACTGCTAGCTCCTCTTCAGCTTCTTGTCCACTTTAACCCTGTAACAGGGAGCCTACTCAGGGCCGATCTCTGTGGCCCGCCCCTGTTCTTGCACCAACCGCCCACCTTCTTGCCCGCCACGTCTTGATGTTAATTGATTCACTGATCAATGTCACTCAAGCGGGAGGCTTCCCATTTGGTGCCCCGATGCCAGGGGACGCTCTCTGCGGCTCCTTTCCTCCCCAATACCGCAGCCCAAGCCGCGCAGATGGCATCTTGATGTTTACATCCTCAGCGGCCCCCACGCTGGGCCCCAGAATCATCCTAACAGGACCCCTCTATGATCCCTCCAATCAGACGGCCTCTCTGCCTTCATTTGGGCTACTAGCTTCCCATTTGGTGCCCCGATGCCAGGGGACGCTCTCTGCGGCTCCTTTCCTCCCCAATACCGCAGCCCAAGCCGCGCAGATGGCATCTTGATGTTTACATCCTCAGCGGCCCCCACGCTGGGCCCCAGAATCATCCTAACAGGACCCCTCTATGATCCCTCCAATCAGACGGCCTCTCTGCCTTCATTTGGGCTACTAGCCCCCAAAACCATTTTCCCCTCTCGGGTGTGGTCCCCCCGGGACCTTCGGCTACCAGCCCTGGCCCACCTCCAGGCCAGTCGGGACCCCAGGCCCCCGGCTTTTGGGCATCCCTCGCGGTGGGCCCCTGGCCCTTTTGACCCTCCTGGTCCTGGCCCCAGCATGGGCCAGTCAAGGGTACTCTCTTGTTCGGGTTGGGGCTCTAGCCCCTCACGCTCTCCCAGGGTCTGCCCTCTGGGCCCCTCACAAACAGGGTTACCCACCCCGTGGTGGGAGCTAGGGGTTAAGGCACCCCGACCCGCCTTCCACCGGGGTGGTAACTAGCCTGGCATTTCCTGGGGGCTCCCGCGCCACTGATAGCCCCACCAGGCCACCCACTCCCAGCAGGGTGCAGTTTTAGGTCATGCCCAGGACCAGAAGCCTCCTTATCATCCCCTACAGCTCCTCCCTTACCTCCAGGTTGATCTCAGCAGCTCTCCAGCCAGGCGATGTTGCTGCCCAGCCTACAGCAGCCAAACTGCCCTGTTTATATAGGCAGCCCTTAACTCCCAGTCAGGCCCCCGGTGGCTGCCAGCTCCAGGCCCTTAAAGTGGCAGGCGCACACAGTGCCCTGCTACAAACCCCCAGGTCTTTCCTGCAGAGCTGCTGCCCAGCCCATGACCCCCAGCCTGTACCAGAGCATGGGTCCATATCCTAAATGCAGCATTTTGCACTTGTCCTTGTTGAACCTCATGAGATTTCTTTTGTTCCAACCCCACAATTTATCTCATTTTCTCTGATCCTAGCTCTGCTCCAGGTGTTTAATCATATCAAAAAGACCAGGCTATCGAAGGAGGTCCCTGTGTCTGTAGTCATCCCTTCTTGAATATCAGGCAGCCTCCAACCCCAGACCAGAGTGCTCTCTTGGAGGAGATTATGAGGCACGAATGGAACATTCCCTGTAACCCGTGAGGCAGCACCTTGGGGAGAAGGTACCCCCGGAAGTGGGTGTCGCAGGCCACTTTGCGTGGGACCCCGATGGGGAGGATGTTAGCCAATCTCTGGATCTCGTGGATCACAGCGTTGGTGTACGGCATCCGGCCTTGGTCATTCATGGCTGGGCTGTGGGTCTGCCCTATGACGCGGTCGACTTCCTCTCGCACCTTGTCTGCGGAGACAGGATTGGAAGGGGGGTGGGGGGGGCTGGTGTTTGTGCTGCAGGCTCTGATGCCCCAGCAATGTCAGTTGTGTAAGGACAGGCCCAGCCTCAGTGAAAACCCTTCCTCAGCCTATCTTGGGTGGCCACTACTGCCTCCAGAAGTGCCCACCTTTTTCTCCCCCTTCTCGGTCTCTTCTAAGCCTTCCAGGTCTTCCTAGGAGAGAAGGCACCTTCCCAGCTGGATGGTGTCACTAGCCCCTGGTCCGAGGATCCATTGTGTCAAATGCAGCACGGACCCACAGCAAGAGACATTCAACGCCCCCAGCCCACTCTTATCTACAGGCACAAGGCGGAGAGTGACATTCTTTCCATCTGAGCCAGGGAGATGTGCAGTGCCTGGTCCAGGGCTGCACAAGGCATCTTGGGCAGAGCTGGGAGTGAGACCCTTGACATCCCGCCCCCATCTAACCACTGCCATTGCTTTCCATGGATAACTGTTCTCTGTGCAGGTTTGTCACATCACCAGCTCCAGCCTCACTGAAACATAAAGCTAATCACTGCTTCATTCAGTGGCGATGCGTAAGGGGTGCACAGAGGTGCACATGCACCCCCTGAGAGTGCTGGTGTATACCTTCAGAGCCAGTGCTCCCCACTTAGATAGTGGGCAGGGACAGCAGGCGGGAGCACTGGCGTCCTCCCTGCAAGCACTGGGCAGGAATTGGGGGCACCGGGAAAAGTGCCACTGGAACTTCTGGGTGTCCCACTTCTGCTTCCCAGTTCTGTCCCTGTCCGCTGCGGGGCATGTGCCCCCCCGACACAGGAGGCACCAATCACCCGTGGCTTTGTTAGCCTTTGGCAACCTTCATGAGCCTCTTGGGAGAGGAGGTAGGAGCGAGGCTCAGATCCGTGCGTCTGGTCTGTGCAGTTGGACTTCTGTGTGTAGATCTCCAATTCCCTGGTGACCAGGCAGTCTCTGCTGAAATCAGGGTGCACATAAGCGCAACAGGTTTATTTCATGTCCACCGTACCTTGGACCTCTGGGTATTTCACCAAGAACAGGAGTCCGAATCTCAAGGTGGAGCTCGTTGTCTCCGTCCCAGCAAAGAATAACTGGATTGCTGTGTCCACCAGGTTTCTGGTGCTGAATTCACTCTGTGGGTTTTGCTTTTCCTGGAAAGGAGGGAATAGAAAGGACTCAGCACATAACACCTGCCTGACATCTGGTATGCACCTGGATTTGGCCCCTTAACAAAGAACACCTCTGTTGCCCTGGATTTGGGTGAGTGTCCGAAGGTGAAGTTTTACTGGGTCTGCTCAAGTTGGTGACTCTAGCCCTGAGTTCCCAGCCTGCTGCTTCACAGCTCAGTTGAGTGAGTGTCCATGAAAAGTATCACAGGCCCACCCTAACATGTAATGGCATCAGTGACAACCTGCTTACCTCTTCCGTCCTGATGAGGAAGGAGTCAATGAAGTCCCGAGGGCAGCTGGGGTCCAGGCTCTGCTGATTTATCCTCACCCTCTCCAGGATGAAATCATGTAGGGCCTTGTAGTGGTTACAAGCCCGATTGTGTGGGCCAGGTACGTACTGCATGATCCTTGGAAACATCTCATAGAACTGGGGATGAGGAAGAAGGGAGCCAGGTCAATGGACTGGAAATCTCTTCTCTCATTGGTGGATCAGGGGACACCATGAGTGAAGACCAACACTGGCATCATCCATTTAGTCTGTTTAATGACACTCAAGTTCTGGAACCAACTTCCCAGGGAGGTGGTCCTCACCCCTACCTTGGGCAAATTCAAGAGGAGGTTGGACTATCACCTGTCTGGGGTCTTGTGAACCCAGCATTCATTGCTGCCTGTGGCAGGGGGTCAGGCTAGATGATCTGTTCAGGTCCCTCCTGACCCTAGCTACTATGATACTATGTCAAGTTTAGAAATGACTATCAGAATCCCTAGTCCTGTCATTTGTACCCCATCTCCAGATCTTGACCCATGGCAGGATCTCTTCCTTGCACCCATCTGTTCTTGACCTCCCGATTGAGTTTGACTCAAGCCTTGGCTGCTGCTCTGAATAGGTACTTGCTCGAAATGTTCTTTATGTCCTGTGTGTTGCGTGTCTGCTGCCTTTGCCCACAAGATATAGGCTTTATCCCCTGATGTGCTCTACTGGCACGGGTGCAGGTTCAAAGGTAACAGTGCAAGGTCCTCCATCCCTTATTCACTGACTTTTGTGGAGGAAGATGGGGGGCCTCTCTGAGAAGGCAGAATACACAAGGGTTGAGAAACCAGGGGCTTTCATGACAGTCTCTTCCTGGATAAGGGCCAGTGTGGTTCCCATTTTCAAAAAGGGACAAAGGAGGACCCAGGAAACTATAGGCCAGTAGTCTTACCTCAATCCTGGGTAAGCTTTTTGAGAGCATTATCCTGGCGCATGTCCACGAGGGGCAGCAGGGGAGTATGCTTAGGGGCAACCAACATGGGTTCCTTAGAGGCAGGTCCTGTCAGACCAACCTGGTGGCCTTCTATGACCAGGCCACAAAATCCTTAGACGCAGGGGTAGCAGTGGACGTAGTCTTTCTGGACTTCAGGAAGGCCTTCGACACTGTCTCTCACCCCATTCTCATTAAAAAACTAGGGGACTGTGGCGTCGACACCTACGTGGTCAGATGGGTCACCAATTGGCTGGAGGGCCGCACCCAGAGAGTGGTGGTGGACAGGTCATTTTTGACCTGGAGGCTGTGGGCAGTGGGGTCCCCCAGGGCTTAGTCCTTGGACCCGTGCTGTTCAACATCTTCATCAGCGACTTGGACAAGGGGGTAAAAAGCACCCTGTTCAAATTTGCCGATGACACTAAGATGTGGGGGGAAGTGGGCACGCTAGAAGGGAGGAATAGGCTGCAATGGGACCTGGACAGGTTACAGGAGTGCACCCACTCCTATGATACTATGACATAGTATCATAGTAAGAACAGGATGGGATTCAACACTGACAAGTGCAAGGTGCTGCACCTGGGGAGGAAGAACCAGCAGCAGACCTGCAGGCCGGGGAACTCCCTTCTCGTCAGTGCAGAGGCAGAAAAGGATCTTGGGGTCATTATTGATGCCAAAATGAAGATGGGCCGACAGTGTGGGGATGCGTTCAGGAAGGCCAACCACACCTTGACGTGCATCCACAGATGCATCTCAAGCAGGTCCAAGGAGGTGATCCCCCCTATCTACGTGGCACTGGTCAGGCCACCGTTGGAGTACTGCTTCCAGGTCTGGGCACTGGACTTCAGGAGGGATGTGGACAGCATGGAGAGGGTCCAGAGGAGGGCCACTCGCATGATCAGCGGGCAGCAGGGCAGGCCCTACGAGGAGAGGCTACGGGACCTGAACCTGTTCAACCTCCACAAGAGAAGGCTGAGGGGGGAATTTTGTGGCCTGTTACAAACTGGTTGGGGGGATCAGCAGGCATTGGGGGAGTCCCTGTTCCCCTGAGCACTACCAGGAGTGACTAGAAATAACGGTCACAAGCTGGCAGAGGGTAGATTCAGACTAGACGTCAGGAGGCGCTACTTCACTGTCAGGGGGGCACCGACTTGGACCCAATTCCCCAA